TTGTAACAGTCTTCCAGAGCAGGAGAGACTGTGTGCAGTGTTCACACTCGTGAATAACCTGGGCAATAGTGTCCATTGCTAAGTCCACCCCTCGATCATGAGTCCATCTCTGTGTTGCATCTCTGCCCTGATGGCCTGAAGTGTCATGGGCCCACCGGGCCAAAAATAATTCACCTTTACGTTGCCAATCTAAGTCCATCTGAGCCACTTCAATCTTAGCCGCTTGGTCCCCGGGGCCGCTCTCCCGGGCCGGTTCGGCTGCCGCCGGCTCCCGGGGCCGCTCCCCCTCGGCTCCCCGCAGCCTCACGAAGATGGAGAGTAGGGTGAGGGCCAGGACGGTGAAGAGCAGCCGGACGGCCAGGTACAAGTCCACGGCCACGTCCGTCCCGCCCTGCTGCTGGAGCCCGCCCGTATTACAAGCCATTGCCATAAAGCACAGTGAGACAAGAACCTTAGCCCAGGCCCCATACTTGATAAACACTATCACAGCAAATACCGGCTCTACGTAAGTTACAACATTCTGAAGCTGTGAGATCAAGCGAAACAACTCTGAGAGCCAATAAATCAGCATTGTGACGAGTGACTATTAATCCAGTCAAATCTGTCGTTATCTCAACCCTTCGTGCCCCACGTTGGGCGCCAAAAAGAACTGTCGTGGTTTAAACCCAGTCAGGTAATTCGTTCGCTCACTTCCCCCCCTTTTCTTGCCCTCCCCCTGCTCTCGGAGGGACGGAGAGGAGAATCGAAAAGAATGCAACTCTCACGGGTTGAGATAAGAACAGTTTAGTAACTAAGGTATAACACAAATCACTACTGCTACCACCAATGATAATAATGATAAAGGAAATAACAAGGGAAGAGAATACATCATCTCACCACCAGCCGACCGATAACTCGCCCCCCCAGCCCGACCAAGCTCTGACCGATACCTCCTCCAACCCTGCAGTCTCCCAGCCCTTCCGGCTCACTGTTACATCCTGGCCATGACGTGCTGTGGTATGGAATACCTCTTTGGTCAGTTTGGGTCAGGTGTCCTGTCTCTGCTTCCTCCCAGCTTCCCCTCCTCCCTGGCAGAGCATGAGGCTCACAAAGTCCTTGGCCAAACCTAAACATCACTATCAGCTCTGTTCCCAAGCTGAAAGTCAAAACACTGCACTGCACCTGCTACCAAGAAGGGGAAAAATGAGTGCTACTGCTGAACCCAGGACAATCCTTCATCACCACCAGGAATTGTTTCTGACCAGAATGATTGAAATTTGATTTCAGAGGGCAGGTACTTTAGGGCCGTTGTACGTGGTTCGATGTATGACTTAATTCTCACCAAGCACGATTCTTTCAGAAGTGGACAGGTTTTATGAGAAAATACATGCTTGTAATGTTAAAATTCTGGTAATTTTTATCAGGAAGAGTGTTTTAGTGATTATTATGAGGTAATAGAGCAAATTGTTTAATGACAAGTCTGAGTAGCATTTATTGTGTTCTACAAAGAATAGTGTGAATGATATTTTAAGTTGCCTATTGAACCTTGTAGGCTGCTTAAATTGGAATGAATCACTAGACATTCATAAATCATTTACTAGCTTTCTGTTGCCTTTCAAACTTTAATATAAAAATACCTTTAAAACTTTTGTATTAATTACAACCTGCTGGCTAAGGATTCTGAGTGGTTGATTTATTTAGGAATTATGATTAGAAGGATTTGGAAATAATAAGCTTTACGACATTCTTTAAAACCTTTTATTATCTGTAAAATCTACTTTTTTATCTTACTCTGTTGGTTGCAGAGAAGTAGACTTGACATGCACATACTCCAGTGTCAATCTGTGGAGTGAAATGGCGTGTTCGTAGGTTGTAAATAGAGCAGTAGAAAGACAACAGTAGACACAGAGTAGCTCTGTGAAGTACATTAAAAGCTTTGCTGTGTCAGCTGCTCTACTATGAGAGTACTACGCACATTACTAGTCCCCAGGATGTGCAGGGTAGCTTGTCTCTGTCACCTAACATTCAGTACTGGGTAGTACAGGTACATCCATGTTTATGGCAGAGTAGATGCTGTATCCCAAGTGCAAGTTCTGCTGTGTACATTGGAGTAGTTATTGTACTGCAACATCTTCGATTCAATAGGCAAAACTTCTCATTTTTATGAACCATATGTACTTCTTGGAACTTGGAGTGTGGTTTTCTCCGTAAATTACTGTTTAGTCTTTCTCACAAAAGATACCTTTTCACATAAGCCAATACCAGAAACTAGTTAGAAATAAAGACTTGCTAATACATGTGAAATTATCCTCAGTGCGGTGAGTAGCTGATGTCCCGGCTTTGAACTCTATTTCCAAAGGCATCACTAGGGTGTTTCTAGGCAAGTTATTCCTGTTACCGATGCTTTACGTAATTTTTTCCTTGTGCATAGAGGCATACACAGTTGTTTAATTGGGAACTTCAATGTGCATGTTTAGGAAATGATTGGCAGAATCAAAATGGAAGGTCTGGACCCTCAGACCGTAAGTGCTCTGGAGCTGGAATTGCCCTTTGGTTTGAAACTAAGATGGCCTTTTACTCTAAGGGGGAATACCAGTTAGCTTTCATTATGAACGCAAATAGTACAACACAAGGGCATGCTCAGGAAAATTGCAGTTTTCCCTTGAAGGAAGGATTTTTTTAACAAATACAGAAAATGGAAAATGCTTAGACTTGTTAAAAGTACAAATAAATACTTTTCAAATTTAATGACTTTTAGCATTTAATTGCCTACTTTTCTATTAATAGACATGCCTTCAACAGTTAAATATATTTTTTCCTTCCTGTTGATCACCATTATTTTTTATGGACAGATATTTATGTTAAATAGAAAACAAAATGGCTGGTTGATAAGACATACGTGTGTTTTCAGTCAACCTTTTCATTAATGCTGTCAATTCTGATAAAGATAAGCCACATAGAATTAAGTGAATTAAGAAAAGTAACAATGCAGGTGGTGATGCTTCAGGACAGAATCAGTTTACATTATACCTCTGTTTTAGGGACTTCTACCATTTTATTTTTTAAGAAAACTAGGATTTTAGAAAACTGTTGATAGGATGGTTATAAAATAAAGTGAAAAACCTTTTACTCCTCCTGTGCTCTGGCTGGTTTGCTGCGTACCATTTTAATCAGTGTACTTTGGAGTGGCAATTCACTTGCCTAAAAAGGCTTACACTAAAAGCATCATGTGTTGCTCCTATATATGCCAGCCTTTCAGAAGCTGGCAGAAACATTTTCTAGCATAAGAGATAATATTTAAGATCTAGTATACAGCTGAAACAGAAAATAATGAAAACTTTTGGTGTCTTATTATCAGAGAAGTTTAGGTCTGAATGTGAGATGCGGTTGTTGTATCTGTCTGTAATGTCAGGCTGCCCTAGTTTCAGCTGTAATAGTTATTTTTCCCCTTCCTAGTAGCTGGTGCAGTGCTGTGTTTTGACTTCAGTCTAAGAATGATGCTGATAACATGCTGATGGTGTAGCTGTTTCTCAGTAGCACTTACTCTGATCAAGGACTTTTGAGTCCCTCGTGCTCTGCCATTGAGGGGGGGCACAAGAAGCTAGGAGGAAGCAGAGACAGGGCACCTGACCCAAACTAGCCAAAGGGGTATTCCATGCCACAGCACGTCATGCCCAGTATATAAACTGGGGGGAGTCACCTGGGAGACCCAGATTGCTTCTCGGGTTGGGCTCAGTGTTGGTCAGCGAGTGGTGAGCAATGGTATTGTGCATTGCTTGGGTTTATTGTTTGTTTTCCCTTTCTGCTTTCAGTTTTATATTCTCTCCCCTTGTTATTTCTCTTATCATTATTAGTATTCTATTGTACTTTTATCTCAAGCCATGGCGTTTACATTCTTCGATTCTCCTTCCCATCCTGTAAGGGAGGACAACGGGAGGTGGGGGGTGAATGAGTGGCTGCGTGGTTCTGAGTTACAGTCATGACTTAAACCACGGCACAGGGGGAAATTGATCTGCCTATTTTACTTTTTAACCGGAGTCAGACTTTCCAGGCAGGTTACATACAGGCTAATGTGTTTTCATGCTATGTCTTACTTTGTTGAAAAATTTTGAGTTGCCTAAAACCAGAATTAAGCATATTGTTTACAAATCTGTTGTGTAATCAGTAACTAAGTCTTCAGTGGAATACTTCAGGAACTGGAGTTTTTTATAGTGATAACTCATAGATATTAAAACTCTTAGACCGTTTCTGTGAACACTTACATGATACTTCTCTGAAGGAAATCTCAGCAGGTAGATGAATTTACAGTGTATTTTATCTGAAATTTGGAAGAACTTTAATTACAAACAGTACAAAGGAATGTTCTCTCAAAATAACGTAGCATTTAACAACACAATGTTACTGACATAATTACTTGTTAAATGTAGTTTCTTATGGCATAGCTGACCAGTAAAAAAAAATGCAACTGAAAACTGCTCCATGGATGAGCTTCAGATTACCATATTAATGAGCGGTTTCAAGACTTAATACAAAGCCTGAACTTGTATGAAAACTATATTCTGAAAAATGCACATATATCCATGGTGTAGGACCGCAGTGCTTTTTTGTTACATCTTTAGGTATAATATAGTAATGCTGTCAGGTAAGTCATATTCAGATGGCAAGAGGAAAATACCTTTAGCTCTGTTCTCCAGGTAACTCAAAGGAGAATCTTTGTTTGTAAGGAGAGGCCAGAGGGAAATGAATGTTACTGCTTGTGATCAAAACACATCCATTAACAAAAGCAAAATAATAATTGCAGCAGCTTTAGTTATCAGTGTTCTGTGTATATCTCTATTGTGGTCATAGAACTCTGCATTAAGCATAAACAAGTGTAATAAAAATAACAGTGAAATGGCAATTTGGAAATTTTGCTTTAATATCAGGTCAGGGTTTTTTATATCTTGTATGAGTTGACAATCTGTTGTGCTATTGTTTTTACCTGTTAATGGTTGTGGCCCTTCTGGGTTTTTAACTTGTAGAACACAACTGAAGCTACTGTCACTGTGGAGACCTTGGATGACGTACCTGAGCATGTGCTTAGGGGGCTTCCCGAGGACGTGAGGCTCTTCCCATCTGCTGTTGACAAGACACGGCTTGGTGAGTGCTACAACTGTGAAAAGGAAATGAAGAGCTGTACACTAGATCACATGAATTACAGTTGCTGTGAAAGTGTGGTGCCTTCCTGTGCTGAGTAGAGATGGTGTCTGGTGCATTTATCTGAAATAATTTCTGTTGGAAAGAGTGGACATCTTCCAAGTTTCTCCAGCATTCTAAGATGATGTTCCTGGAACATCAGAATTGGGGTCTAAGATAGACCAGGATGCAAATAGATTAGATTATGAAAATAACTGATAAGTTCCTTTACTGCTGTGTTTTCACTTATAACACTTTAACTGTTACCAGCTTTGTGTTTTGCAGCTGTCTTACTCTGTCTCTTTAGATTGCTGCATCTTGTTGTCCAATCAATATAAAAGGTTTTATTTAGAAGAACAGACTCAGTGCAGACGTGAAAGCTGCTGTGTGGAGCAAAGTGGTGTTTCTGTAATATATCCAAAATGCTTGGCTGCTTTTTTAACACAATGGGAGAACTTTGATGGAAGTCAGAATTGCAGACTGGGTATGCAGACGTTGGTGTTGAAAGCTGGTGGTTTGAAGACTAAGCCTGACAATAGATGCGTTACTGTTAGTATCAGGTTATAAGCTCCTTGGAGCAAGGTTAATCTTTCCTGGTACAAACCTGATCTAGCATGGTTTGAACGAGAATGTTATTTTTAGTTACCAATTACTTGTCAATCTGTTCTTAGTTTTCATGCTGTAAATGTGAAAAACACGTGTCCATTTTCAGTTCAGTTAAATCCTGTCAATAAAGCTTTGGGCAGATGCACATATTTTAACCAGTCCTAGATGTTTTTTCCTTTAAAGTATAGTATCCATTAGTTGTAAAACTTTTGTGAGGGCTTCATTTGCCTGGCATTGTTTCAGAGAAAGCAAATAGTTTTTGTTTAATAAGATATTTACTCAGCAAAACAGCTGAAATCTGTGACTTTACAATATAAAACCTGAAATGCTCTTACAGTATTTTCAGTATCACCTGAAGTACAAGAAAAATGAAGATTGTTTTTATTTTCAGAGCTGCAGTAGCCCATGAGCAAAGAGTGAAACTAGATACATGCTTAAAACTTTCACGGTTGAAGTGATTTTTGGGGAGAGGATTGTTGGAATTTATTTTAGTGAACTTCAAATTCCTTATTGTGATCTTAATGTAGAATGCTCCCCCATCTGAGACAGACTCGTGATGTTCTGAAGAAAAACGAATTGTGAGTAGAAGATTTACTCGAGATAACTTAAACTTAGATAAGTTTTAACTACTGGTATGTGTCTCTTTAGGTGTCTGGGCAACAAAATCAATTTTAAAAGGCAAGAAGTTTGGACCATTCATTGGTGACAAGAAAAAAAGATCTCAAGTTAAGAGCAATGTGTACATGTGGGAGGTAAGAAACAGCTTGTCAATGGAAAAAGGTATCTGTCACTAGCACAAGATTTTGTTTAGCCTTTATTTTTTCTAGAGATTTTAGAAATAGACACGATGGGAAATAATTGCCCTCAGACTTTGTCTACCATTACAGTTACTTATAGACACTTGGATTGAACAACCTTTCTGAATTACTTTTAAACTCCTGACATAGTTTGAAACTGCTGTATTAATTTTCCTAGATACTGTCTCTGAATCACACCTACCTTTAAGAGCTTGTTGTTGCTAAAGCTTTGCTTTGTTGGCTTGAATCCTGAGTAATATCCCTTCTGCAACTGAGTACTGTCAACTGCTCATGAAATTAGGGAAATCAGGAGGATATGGAATCTTTTAAGGGAGCCCCAGCACTCCTCCTCATTTAGCTCTTTGAAAACCAGCTTGGTTATGGGAATTGGTTTTTCTTTTGGAACTTTTATAAAAAGTTCTCACTTGTGCTGCTTGTGTTTGGGCTTGCGTTAAAGCAAATACTATCTTCACAGCGGAATCGCACTTTAAACTCTGCTGCTAGTCATAACATTTGGATATTGTGTAGATTTCAAAATGTAGGTGCTTTAATCTGGTCTTGAATCTTATCTACAGTTTCTTCAAGGCAGTTCATAACTACTTCCAGAAGCTATTTTAATCTTTCTAAAGACACATAGAGCAAATGGCTTTAGCAAAGTGAATGGTTGAGGAGGGGAGGGATTGAGGAGCTGTGGCATAGCATGATCTGGGACAGTTTATGGCATTGTAGGCCAAAGATACTGATAGAAGTCATCCTTCTGGCCCCTGGCTTGCAAAACTTGAGCTGCATAAACCACTAGATACATACAAATACGTAGAAAACTTACTGTTAACTCTTATCAGAGGAGGTAATTTAGAACAACTTACTTTACATGCAAATTCATATTCAGGAAAGTAATAAAGTGTTCAAATAGTGTTTGTTTCATTGAGCTGATATTATCAGAAACTCCACTGCATGAGGTATCTCCAGTTTTGATCAGATACAAGAACACTTGGTGAGATTGTATCAGCCAAGTAAGTTACTGACCTTGTGGTGTTTTTTCTCAGTGCTGGATTTTGAGTGTTCTCAGTGGATATACCTTAATATTTTTTAAATTTATGTTGAGAAATGATAGTTGCAAACAAGCTGCTACAGAATTCTGTAGTTTTTCAATGCAGGTGACAGTGGGAACCTTTGCTAGATGGCAAAGGGATCCTGTGTTGATTTAATACTGATTTTAGAATTGAAAAAAAGCAGCTAAAATGAGACCAGAACAGTTGGCCCCATATGCTGATATCTGAAACCACTCCAGAATATTCTCAGTTAGAAAATAGGATTTGTGAAAGGATGGTGGTGTGTGGGAGTAGTTAGGTGTATGGGTTTCAGTTTGAACCCATCACCCCTTGTCCTATTGCTCCAGTCCCTGAGGAAAAGATGGTTTGAAAATAATTATTTGTAAGTAAGTATCAGAAACCTCCAACTAGCAGAGCAGCCTTTTCCACAAGAACCCCATTTGTTTCTCTGATGAAGTTAAACTGAAGAATAAGTAAAGCTTCTCAAAGCTGCATCTCTGATGAATTTTAATAGTTTTTAACTGTTGTGCTGGAGGATCCCTCTGAAAGCCACAAGTTCTGTGTGAGGGCCATGGCTGAGGAGAGAAACAGAGACTTGAACATGTTTTCATTCTCTGTCGGACAAAAGCCACAGGTAAGAAAATGACATCAAGTCACTGAAAACGGAGGGAATGCCACCAGACGATGCGGGATTCGGGCACTACTGTGCTGAGGGATCTTTATTGTGGTTTTCAGGAATTGCTTAAAGTCACAGTGTTCTATAGAGGACTTGGAGCTGGTTCCTTTCTCACGGTGCACGAGTCCTGTAAACAGTCATCTGTGAATTAGAAGCTTGAACTGCAAAGTAATAAAGTATTTTGTTTTGTGCGAAAATCATAATCAAGTTGTGTGACAATTTAATAAAATAATTCATTAAAAAAAGTAATAAATCATTATGTTTTGCCAAATATTGCATATCTGCTAACTCTTCCACAGCACTATTCAGCTCTCTTCTTCCATTTTAACCAAAAGAGTTGCGAGTTGCTTTTACAGTCTTGGTCTGTGCAGCTGTTTATGCTCTTCCATATTGCAAGGGCTGGGTGTGCTGATGATCATTCTTTCAAAAGTCAGCTGATGAAATCCATACTGGAATAGTTTAAGTAACTTTCTGTTTGCTTGGAAACTAAGATTATTTCAGAGTGTTTATTGAAACTTTATTGCAAAAGTTCTATTTTATTAGACCAACAGTTTATCAACACAAAAGAAATCTATTAACTTAAAATCATTATTAAAATTACTTACTAAATCATTAAATTAAAAATTATTTAATGTTTCTTTTTTTTTAAATTGCTGTAGGAAATTGAAAATGTAAAATCATAGAATCATAGAATGTTTGTGTTGGAAAAGACCTTAAAGCTCACGTGGCTCTAACTCCCTGCCATAGGTGGGGATGCCTTGTACTAACTAGACCATGTTGCCCAAGCCCTGTCCAACCTGGCCTTGAACACAGCCAGGGATGTGGCAGCCACAGCTTCTCTGGGCACCCTGTGCCAGCGCCTCAGCACCGTCACAGGGAAGAACTTCTGCCTTATCTCCAACGTGAAATTCCCCTGTTTCAGTTTGAACCCATCACTCCTTGTCCTATTGCGATAGTCCCTGATGAAAAGATGGTTTGAAAATAATTATTTGTAAGTATCAGAAACAATAAAAAGCTACAACATTGTGTAACAAAATATGAAGTTTACAGGGGAATCAGAATTTTAGCGTATTCCTTATGTGCAGTAGTGCTAAGTGAGTGTAGCAGGAGTCAATGAGCTAGGGAGGATGGGTTTTGAAAAGAGCTCTTCCAGGCAGAGGCTGTTGTTTAGATACTTCACCAAAAGGGAAAAAGCAAGTAGAAAATACAGTAAAATTACATATATTTTTCCTTTCTTGTTCTTAAAACATGTGAGCTGCCCAATACTCCTGACACGTTGTGTACCTATTAGTATGTCTGTGTTCAGAGACAAAGTGATGGAAGATAGTTCCAGTTGCCAAAGTGGGGTGTTACTTGTTTGGGGAAAAATGCTGTACCTCATCCACAAATGGCTCTTCTTATAGACATCTAACTCGAATTATAATAAGAGTGGGAGATGCAGAACATGTCTTGAAAGAGAAGCAGAGTTGCCTGTCACCAGGAAGCACTGAAGGTGGCAGTAACCTTGCTTTAGTGCAAGCTGTCTTGAATGTAAAACAGGAGTAGGTGTTGAATTTTTTTGTCCAAGAATGTAAACCAAAGAATTTACACATCTCGGAACATGCAGCAGTTCATTGACATGGACAGTTTTTTTTTAAGGGTTTCTGAAACTTAAAGATCTTCTTTAATACCCTGAAAAAAGATTAAGTATAAATTACACTTTTCTTTACCTTCCCAAATAAAGCAAATTCTTTTAACTACTATATACTTTTCCCAATTCATAAGAAAGTAAAAATAAATCCCTCTTGCCTTTATATCTTAAAATCAATCATCTTAGGAAATGCAAAATATACAGGGTCATTTCAGGCTTGCCAAACTGAAAAGAAAGCATGAAATGTTCCAAGTATTCTGGCTTTTGAGCCCAAAACCTCTAGAGTAGGAAGTTTGGGATTTTTTTCCCCTTGGTTGCAGCAGTTCCGCTAAAAAAAAAACACCTTGTAGAAAACCAGAAACATTTCCCTACCCCTGCTCACGTCGTTTGTGTTACCTCCATCCTTAGATGATAACTACTACTTTGTATAGCCTTAAAGTACATAGAGTTTTAGTACGTGTACACTTCAGTGTTACGAGTTGTCACACTTAGTGCCATTTGTGTCTCACAGGTGTATTACCCAAACCTGGGATGGATGTGTGTCGATGCAACTGATCCAGAGAAGGGGAACTGGCTGCGGTATATAAACTGGGCACGGTCAGGGAAGGAGCAGAATCTGTTTCCTCTGGAGATCAACAGGACCATATACTACAAAAGTTTAAAGGTACTGATGTCTGAACAATCACTTACTGCTCCGTTACTTGTTATTATTAATACTTCTAATTTCCCTTTATTCAAATCCTATTTTTTTTTCATTTATGTTGAACAGATTTTGAAACATTTTATGAAATATAATTAAAATATTGCAGATGTCACGTTTCATCAGTCTAAATTCTTCTATGCCAGTACAGTTAACATTAAGATCTACTGGTAAAATATAGGATATGTATGAACAGAAAATCTTACATGTTAATGATCTGCTGTAGCACCAAATTTGATACAAATGAATGAAGAACTATAGCAGATTACATAAATGTTTTTTCTATTTCTGTAGATACTGAGACACTTTCTTCTGAGGAGCTTTTGCAGAAATCAGTTATTTTTATGGTCTTTGCATCAAATGTCAAAGATTGGTTGTCAAGACACTTTTCATAGGTAGCTTCATAAAACAAATTTGCCTGGTTTTATACCGTTCCAATTTTATTCAGGGAGTGGGAGGCAGGAAGAAGGGTGTAATTCCTGGGATATTGTATCTCCCAAACCAAGAAAAAAATTTTTTAGTTTAACTAATGGTCGAGTGTGTTAGTTTTAGACTATTGGGGCTGTAAATTATTATTTGAATCTCTGATCAAGAACGTCCTGGCAGTTAGTAGTAGATAACAACTAGTAGCTCAACTTTGTTTCTGTTTAAAATGCTTTAGTGGTTTTTGGGTATATTCAGACTTGCTGTTAGGCTGTTGCTGTTTCTTACATTTGTTTGTAAGGCTGACAACATCTATAAGTAACTGATCTTCGTTTAAAAAGAATGAGTTTGATATCATTCAGTTTTGAAGCTGTTGACAATGCAGCAATAGGTAAAACTGTTATATTTTAGGTCACTCAAACTAGATTGAAAAAAAGCCCAAACTTCTAAACATGTTCCGAACTTTCTGGTAGTTTTGGGATAGCATTCTGGTAGAGGTTGCTGTGGCCAGCCAGACTATTGACTTCAGTGTTCATCCACTGAGAGAAGGCTCCCAATGTGAAGCTGTAGCCAGCTGAGTTTTCTCTGGACACTATGTCAGGTTGCCTCTGCCTTTGCCCATAGTCACACTAGTTCATTAACATTAAGTGCTCTTTTGGAATCACTCTGACATTGTAAATTTCTCTCTCATTCAATGTTTTCAGCAGAGATTTTAGTCCTGATAAAAAGAAGCATTTGCTTATTCCAGGCTTGTTTTCTGATGGATAATACTGCACTTTGGAAAATAATTGTACCCCTAAAGAGGCAGACAGTAACAAATACTTTGCCTCAGCATGTGAAAGATCCTTTTGTTCCTTTGGCTGTCTTCCCTTGCGACCTGATGAATTTTATCCTAGTAGGTTTTGCCAACAAGATCATGCTGCCAAGCAGCTCTTTCTGAGGATTGTTAGAGCAGCCTATAGGGATCAGTTTTAGTGTTTCAAAATCAGTCTGGGATTTGTTGCAATGGGAGGTTTTGAGTTTGGGATGTGAAGGGGCTCTTCAAAGAGCCATCTTCAGCAGCCTTTATTTGCCCCTGCAGCAACCACTTATATATACGTGCACTGTGGGACTGTTCCTTAGCTTCAGCTCAGGGTTGGCAGTACCAGTCCAAGTCAAGCCTCTGGAAATCCATCTGTATGTTTGCACTGTATGCTAGTTGGAGGGAGTGTTCCATCGGGAATGGTGTTACTTCAAGGCCGCTTCTGTGCGAAGGCTTGCTGCTGTATTTTTTCAAGGCCAGTAGAGAAGCAGAAGCCCTGAGTAGTTTTGGGCTTGGGTGTCACACACCGAGGTCACTGGGCATAGAACCACAGAGCTGGCTCTGCCCTGTAGACATAGTTCCAGGAAGGCAGTGTAGTCATGCTCAAAGAGCTACTACACATGAGCTAGGGTGGGATGGCCTGTTTTAGTAATTCCAGCTTCGTGCTGCTCAGGAGTAGCCAGTTTCCAGGACCAAGTTAATCCAAGAAACCTTGCAGCCAAGGTTCAGTGGTGTGCTCCTGCTGTTCTTTGGTTGTCACTACAACTACGACACAGGTAACTTGCAGGTAATTTAAGAGGTGGCTGTAGAAATGTCTGAATTGCTTCACTAGGGAAAACTAGGTTATAATGTAAAGTGTAACTTTGCCCTATGCTGGGGAAGAAAGTTCACAAAGCTGTAATAAGGAATGATTGTTAAAAGTGCATTCTAATATTATGATTATTTTTGAACCATCTATTGAATATTTTTTTTTTCCACCTTATAGAGAAGTGATACATAAGGAAAATTCTGATCTTGCTAGTCTCTGATGATTTTTAAAGTGAAAGCTTATTGTTAAATTGGACAGTTTTCACTACCATTAGAATCATAGAATGGTTCAGCCTGTATGGGAGGTGCTTCAGCCCCTGATCATCCTCGTGGCCCCTTAAACATTCAGCATTCAGTCAGCATACTGATAAATCAGGTCAAGATTTAGGAGTCACATTTTGTGTTTTTTAATTGCACAAGTGGACTGTTCTTGTCCTTTAATAGGAATATTTTAAATCAAATATTCTCTTTAATTTCTTGTCCATTCCAAGAATATGAAAACCAAAGGAAGGCATTAAGAAATCTTGTCTAGTGTTTTGTAAACTTATTTTTCATTATTTAGTGACAGGCTTTTAAAATAAAGGTAGTGAGAAGAAATTGGAAGTTAAGCTACAGGTGACTGACAGTGTAGGAGAAGTATAATGGAGGAGATTTTGAATGTGTGGTCTGAAGGGCAAGTTACTAAATTAAAGCACTTAAATATTGTCTGTCATATCGGTTTTTACTATCTCAACCCTTAGAAACTGCAGGGAAAATTCATGTGTTGGGGGTGGGGAAAAAAGAGCTATTTTTGCTTTCTTTACAAAATATGGTTACTTATATATCTGCCTTTTTTATTTAGAGGTTTGTAATTGTCTCAGCTTCTGTAACAGAGGTGTTGTTCTTGTAGAGTCCATATCAGCCTTAGATTCACATCACACCTTACTCATGATTGAGACAAAAGAAAGCATATAATAACAGCTGTCTTTCTGCATGTGTTCTGTGGACGTGCTGCCATTTCAAAACTATTGCAAATTTACCAGCCGAAGTACATACACATGGTGCTTTCCTGATCTTTATCGTGATTCACAAATTCAGGGGAATTCCATTTAGTGATAAATCAACAGCACTGTTTTTATTTACCCCCAAAAGAGAATCTGAGTGGCTTATACTTAATTTTATTCTGCTTTACTTCAAAGTACTTGAAATATTGTTATGGCTCTCTATTTATCTTTTTCCCAATGTTTTCTTAAGCTTTTTGTGGCTTGCTGATTTGTAAGTTAAACAAGCTGATCTCCAGGCTTCATTGCTGAGATGAGCAAAGTCCGAATTTGCTTGGTGAAAAGAACCTCAGAACTGCACAGAGCTTTAACTTCCCTCTTCTCTGCCCTGAATGAATAGTAATGGGATAAAACACTTAAGTGAGCACAAGCAAATACCTTTCTTTTCCATCTTCTCTTTATCCTTACTGAAGGACTGAAGATATTTGGAGACTGCTTTGCATATGCTTCCCCCAAGATGCATATATAAGAGTTGTGTTATTTTGATGAAACAGCTTAAACTCATTACGGAGTTTCAGAAGTTCTTCCTGCCTCTCCTAATGAAATGAGCCGGTTGAATAGTGTTGTTCTGCACAAAGCACAGGACTTTGTATTTCCTGAAGAAGCAGAATTGGAATGAAAAGTCAGTTCCAAACACAAGTACTAATGCCACTAGCTGTCTACTTTGATAAGGCCACATTGAGGTGCAAAAGCACAGTATGACAGTAAAATGTAATGTCTGGGGTGAAAAATATATATTCTAATAGATATTTTATGTAGGCAAATGCATGTCTCTGTACAAGACACATTGTGGTGCTTGTATGTGTAGAGTGAACTGAATTTTAGACAATCTGTGCTAGAACTTCTTAGGATGTGAGTCGTATTTTTCTCAGGACTTCTACGACTTTCATTACTGTGACTAAGTGGATCTGTCAAACACGCAACTAGGACTTTTTATGTGGTAGGGACAGGCCAACCTGACAGAGGGGAGACTGAGATGAGCTCTTAGGCAGAAGCTCTTCCCTGTGAGGGTGCTGAGGCGCTGGCACAGGGTGCCCAGAGAAGCTGTGGCTGCCCCATCCCTGGCAGTGTTCAAGGCCAGGTTGGACACAGGGGCTTGGAGCAGCCTGCTCTAGTGGAAGGCATCCCTGCCTGTGACAGGTCTTTTCCAGCCCAAACCATTCTGTGATATTTCTCTTGAAAATAACAGTTTTTTAAATTACTTAAAACCTTTTGAACAGAAAATACTCAGATTAAGAAATGCGAAATGTTGCATTAAAGCACAAAAAAGTGTGGGGGAGTTGTTAAAGTGATGAGCCTTTTCAGAATCCTTACCTTATCTAACTAGGCTATGCCAACCTGATGTGGATGCTCAATCTGTAGGTAATAGTTTGGAGGAGGTTGGGTTTTGGGGTTGGTGTTAGAGGGTGTCATCAGTAAGAGAAATGTGTTCTCTAGTGTTGTAGTAGCAGTAGAAGTGGCGCTTGGTCAGTGTAGTCCTTTTCTAGCTCTATTGATAGTGTTTTAATTGCTTGGCTTTGAAGCTGCTGCTCCATCTCATTTCAGAAGCACAACGTTAGAGGCCTTAATTTAGATTCTAAAGTAGTTACACCAGAACTAAATTCACCACATCGAATGTTAGCTCCAGCCATGCAGCTAACAGATTATGTGCTCCTTATCATCCCGTGTTTGCATTGCTTACAGTTTCTGCCAGCTCTTCTCTCCAAGGTTTTGTTTAGATGATAACTTGTTTGCATCGGACAACTCTTCTTCATTCCTTGCTGCTAAACAGCTGTGAAACGGGACTGTGCAAATGGGTTTACCACTGTTTACCCTGTCAGGCCTCCACAAGTATTGCAGAAGCCAAACCATAGGCTGCGCTTATATTATAACTTAAACAGTTGGAGGGATCTTGAATCTCTTGCTGTTCTGGAATCTGGGGCTGTAAAGATAACTATCACCTTTACCAGGTGCTGTGAGACCTACCAGAAATAAGTGCTTTAGAAGAGACAAATATTACTATTACTGTTGTTCTTGAAACAAAACTTCCCTTTGGCTTTGGACTTGAGATAAGAAGTCAGTGATACCCTTTACTTGAATGAAATCACTCTAAAAATAGTGTCTCATCTCCACGAGCCTGATGTTTGCCAAGCCCTTGGAAGAAGGGAATTGTAGGTCAGGTAAAGGAGGGCATTTTAGGTGGTTTTTCTTGGTTTTGGATAGAATGTTTCAGGAAATGGAGAGAGAATGTTTGAGATTTAAAAAGCCAAACAAACCAACATTATTGTAAGTGGATCAGTTAAACATGTAGTAATGATCTCCTTCCCTCTGTATTACCTTTAACTCACTGCAACAGCCTGTTCCTGTACCTTTAGATTTTGTTCCAAACCCCAACATTAGTGGATGACTGAAGTTAAACTCACTGCTTAATGCTTTGTGTAAGGTAGGTGTGTTCAGCTTGTATCTTGCTGGCAGCTCCGTGGAAAGAACGACCCTGTGCAGAGCAGTAGTGGCACACACCAGGGGTGCACTGCTGTGTTTAATCATAGAATCATTGAAAGGTTTGTGTTGGAAGGGACCTTAAAGCTCCTCCAGCCCCTGCCACGGGCAGGGACCCCTTCCACTAGAGCAGCTTGCTCCAAGCCCCTGTGTCCAACCTGGCCTTGAACACTGCCAGGGATGGGGCAGCCACAGCTTCTCTGGGCACCCTGTGCCAGCGCCTCAGCACCCTCACAGGAAAGAGCTTCTGCCTTATGTCCAACCTGAACTTCCCCTGTTTCACTTTGAACCCATCACCCCTTGTCCTATCACTCCAGTCCCTGATGAAGAGTCCCTCTGCAGCATCCTTGCAGCCCCCTTCAGACACTGGAAGCTGCTCTGAGGTCTCCACGCAGCTTCTCTTCTCCAGCCTGAGCAGCCCCAATGTTCTCAGCCTGTCTCCACACCGGCGGTGCTCCAGTCCCTGAGCATCCTCGTGATCTCCTCTGGACTTGCCCCAGCAGCTCCATGTCGTTCTTACGTTTGAGACAACCCCACATCGGGGTTTCCGGGCTGTTGAACGGCTCTGTGCTGTTAACGCTGCCCGCAGCACGGAGGGTGTTCGGCGCTGCTCACGCTGCGCGTCCTCCAGCCGCCAGGGGCGCGGTCGGCAAGGCCCCCTCTTACCGCCTCCTCACGCGGGGTGCCGCGGGCTCCGCGGGACACCACCGCCACTGCCGACGGCGCCGCCGCGCCGCTCCCCGCCCCGCGGCCCGCCGCCACCAACAAGCCGCCGTCTGATTGGCGCCTCGCCTCTTTCTTCTCTCCCGGCAGCCAATCGCGCCCGGCGAGGAGCTGTTGGTGTGGTACAATGGGGAGGACGACCCGGAGATAGCCGCCGCTATTGAGGAAGAACGAGCCAGCGCCCGCAGCCGGCGGCACTCCCCGAAAGCCAAGAAAGGTAAAGCCCTGCGCGGCCGCGCTGCCGGCTCCCGCCGCCCTCCCGCGTTGCCCGGCCGTGAGGTGGGGCGGGGGAGACCTGCAAACTTTTCCCGGGTGGGCAGCGGGGGCCGCCGTGACCTTCCCCAGCCGCCGCCTCCTCCTGGGCCGGAGGGAGGGCCGCGGGGCGGAACGTGGAAGTTGTGCTGACTGCGGCCCCGCTGGGAAAGTTGGCGGCGGGGCGGCCGCGGAGCAAAAATGTCTCCGTGCAGCGCGGGAGGGAGGAGCGGGGCCGGCTGCGGGAGTGCGGGAGCGGCCTTTGCGCAACAGCACGCGAGGCCGTGTCAGCCTCCCCAAACTGTAAACTTTGTGTGTGGGTGCGGCCGCCGCTGCCAAAGCCTTTCGCAGGCTGCGGGAACAAGTGGAGCCGAGGAGCGGGGCTGCTCCTGCGCGGGGGTTGTGCACTTCGCTCGGTGCGGATGGAAAACTTGAGGCTTTGTTGTGCTCTGTGGCTTTTAATTTCTTCTTGTTTTGGGGTAGCGGCGGTCTCGTGGGGGCTGGAATCCTGCAGGCAGTGTGGCTGACTGCTTCCAGCTGGCTTTGGGAGGGGAGGAAGGATGAGGGAAGGATTTCGGGGGTGGGGGGTACACACATGCTGGTCTTTACGTAAATATGTATGTCTGACCAGACCTCCATTATTTTTCCATGACTAATTCAGTAGCAATATGTTTTAGAGTGCTTGTACTTCCACGCATGGCCTTATATAACTGACATTTTGACTACCGTTTTAGGCCAGAATCGCAGTAGAAACTACCACTTGGAGAGAGTAAATAGCAAAAGGAAGTATTTACAGTCGTAGCAGGAGGAAATCGATTCCTCTTGTAGGTGAATGTGTGTGTTGGAATTCTCTGAAAGGTTACAAGTGAACCGAAGAAAGGAGATAATACTTTAAGTGGCATCACCGTGGGTTTTTTAAGCTTAAAATTTTGGGCCTGATCTTCCTTGTAGTGCCATTGAGTGTGGGACTCACACTAGGAACGAGCTTGGATATTTAGGAAAACAGTTAATTATATAAGTTTTTCTATTTTAGAGATTGGGGAGGGGTTTGGGGGAAAGAAGTGGTGCAACACAGTTGTTCTTTTCAACAGTAATTTGTAGATTAGGTGAGAACAAACTGAAATGCAAGCCCGGAGTTTTGTTTTCTGCCTGTAATGAGAAGCATATTTAGTACATATAGAAGGAATGGCTTGGCAAATTACAGGCTGTATAGTGCTTTTCCCTAAATGTGCATTATCTTAGCAAATAAAATCTGTGTGCCAGTGATTTACCTGAAAGGCTAGAAAAACAACTTGAAAGAATTTGATTATATTGCAGATCAGAAAAGCCAGACAGAGTAATTGCTAAGGTAATTTTTTCGTGGCATAGAAATTTTATTTGCATTCATGAAGTTAATAGATCAAAATACCACTGAAGTAATTAGGTGGTTCAGGGGTTTTAGTTGTGTGTTATTTTATAGGTTTAAAGTTTTAACTGTTATGGAGTATACAGATTTCAGACTGTCAGAATTGGCCTTTTCCCCCATTTTATAAACCTGAGCTCCTTACCAAGGCTCACAGATACATAAACCAAATAAAATGCAAATCAAACCCCACCCCAAACACAATAGAGATGAAGCGTTTGGGAATAACCAAGAGTAATTCATCTGTGGGATTATACACTTGTATCATGAAGCAGAAAGACCAAATTCTTAATATTTAGTTGAGTTGAACTGTTGTGATTACAGAGTCCATATCCATGCTGTAAATGATAAGTCAATTCATAGCATGTACTTTATTCTTTTGTAATAGATGCATATTTTGAAATGATATAATTCTAGTTCCAGTAGGTTTCATCAAAATTATTTTTACTCTTCTATATTTACTCTGTTATTTTAGTATGTGTCGTAACATCTGGTAATATTTGCCATTCACAGCAATTTTCTTGTAAGAAACATGGTATTTTTGTGCGGATTTAATGGCAGTAGCTGCAGTTAGGATTCCAAAACGGTTTCTACTGATATTTCTTCTTTTGCAGATTCAGCTGTATTTCTTGGATATGGAAGTTTCTTAGCCCTGGGCTTTATGGGAAAATAAAGGAAATTGTGATGAGCAGGGTTAAAAAGTGATTAAGAAAAACTAATGTAGCTATAATAAAAGGGGGGTGGCAGGAGAAAGATGTGGCTTAAGTTTATGCATATGAAAAATCAGGATAAGAGGTAATATTTTAGATTAAATACCAACTTAAACAACTCGCTGGAGAGCAGCTTCTCCAGAGGGCTCTGAAAGTTGAATTTATTGGCTACCTAATCAGATCAGTCCCTTTTTTCTTACAAACTTTTCTTTGGCTTGTGTTGCAGGTTGTTGTCTTACACACTGGGGAGAAAATAGAACTAAGTCAAAACTGCCAAGTTTAAGCACCTGTGAAATGAGAGTGTCGTTTAGAAACACATTTTCCAGAAAAGTAAACTGACAGCTTAATACCTAAGAAATGACTAGACATTATTTGAGAAGTGTATTAGAATTTAGTTACTTAAAGCATGTAATTATTAAATAGCTCATAATTATTCTGTGTTCAGTAAAAGAAATATCCTTTTGAATTTTTAATGCACCTTAGGCCTTGCCCTTGGAAAGTTAAGATACCCGTCATTTGACAAAGAGTGTTTATTTAATGAACTCTGGTTATATCTGAAAAGGTGATTTTTTCGCAGGTATTAAAAATGTGATGTGCTTTGCCTGATCGAGTGAGGCGGTCAGTATTGTGAAACTTTTCACGTTGCAGTGGCAATACTCTTATTTCTGACTAAATCCTCCTGTGGTGTCAGTTCGAACTGTCTTACTGTAAGAGGCAGGTTTTATTAAACTTGTGAATTTGAGATGGCATTTCAGGATCAGCAGCTGACCAAGTCTAGACACAAAGTACTGATTGAACTGTTTTCCTTGCCCTTGATCTGACCTCTGTTTGCAAGTGATTACTGACATAAGGTTCATAATCTCCTTTAGAGCACGTTTAGGGCGGCATGGGCATTCTCTGTGCGCCAGTCTTCTCTGACATGTTTGCCCAACAAGGTGTGTTCTCACCAAGAAGATGGGATCTTGGTTAGGCTTCAGATGTGTTTCTCAAAGCTCCCTTGCTCTTTGCTTGTACAGCTTCAGCAGTTCAGTGTCTTCCATATTTTTCTTCCTGTAGTGTGCATTCAAATTCCTTTACATCTCCCAGGTGTTAATTTTGGTAGTCGCTGGTTGGCTTGGTCATAGGTTTTCAGAGCTGGAATAAATCCTTTACATCTTCCTTCTGCCATGCGCAGCAGCTTAGGAGACCTTGAGGAAAAGAGGCAGTTCTTATTTATTTTTATGCATTGAAACATTGCATGTTGTTGCTAAACTGATGAGTGCATTTGAGAATTAGAAAGAAATGTAGTCGGATAAAAGGGGAGGGGGGGGGGGAGAGGGAGAGAATTCAACAGCAGCTTCGTGAACTTGGGTAGCATCAAAGATTTTTAGCAGAGCCACCCCAGTCCAGTGGTTGATCAGGCTGTAATCTGCTTTAAGGTGCTACGTAGGCTCTGAAGTGCAGTCAGACAAAGCTAAAACAGTCTGGGCAGTTTCTGTTATGGATTAGGTGGCAGATTGAAAGTGTTCTCAAAGGGAGAAAGATACTGATGTTACACAGGATAAAGGTTTGCTCTGCTACATGTTCGTGAATAATACCTTTTAGAAAAAAAACTTTTTTTGGGGGAGAAGAAGGTGATGTTTTACTTTTCCTGTGCTTATTTATGGTAGGGGTTCCATGCAGGGCTGTGCAGCTGTAGTTGTGTCTTAGCTGTGCTTCACTTTGCACTTTATGTAGGCAACAAACCCCAGTGGCATTATCTGTACTATGGCCTGGAATCAGTACTACACGTGCCTTTCATATCTTCTCTGTACAAAGTCATGCTGTCAAGAGCAGGGGGGAAAAAAGTCCGTAATTTCATTTTACCAAAAGCACATGCTGCATAAGGTGAATTGAGTAGGAGTCTGTCAAGAAACCAGAACACCTCTTAAAAACCCCACCTCTTAAAATAGAGTCTTCTGTTGTAGTGAGGGCAGAACACCTGAATCGGGTTCACCTGTATCTTGGACAGCCTCTGGTGATTATTTATTGTAGTGCAGTTTTAAAGTCTGAAGCCATTGCTACTAAATCTTTTCAAACTTTATTACCTTCAGTGGCTTTACTGCTGTCATAATGTTGCTGTTTCCCATAGTTCTTATCAGATTTCAGGGAAAGCTTGAACTATGGGGTAACTCTTGGTAATAGTGTCCCAGAGATAGTGTGAGCTCAAGGTAGGTGAATTATGAATCAATTCTCACCTGCTATAAATAATTATTATGCCTTGGTTTATACCAGTCTGAATGCAAAGTGCAACTTCAGGTTTTGGCTCCACAGCCAAATGCTAAATAAAATAAATGCTGTCATAACAAAAGTTATACTGGATTTTCTTTTGTCTGCAAGTATGACTGTTGCTGAAAGAGCCTTCAATTGCTGCAGAAAGGGGAAATTGAAAGATGGAATAAGCAGGTTAAATTCTGTGGTGATATGAATCCTTACAGTTTTTTTTAATAGGCATTCTCAGTTCCAAATAATGAGCTGTACTTGAGAGTCACATGAATAGGCATCCTGTTTATGAAAGGTAGGCCTTGGATTGCAGTGTGGATGTCATCACAAATGGAAATCATGGCCAGATGATGTCTGTTCTTTAAGTTACATGAATTTATTAGACAGGCTTGTACTTGGAGTAGGTTTAGAAGTCTATTTCCAAACACCAAAGAGCTTTTGAGAAAAAATATTTTTTATTAATTAGAATGTAGCTTATAGAAGGGTGCTAAAGTTTGGCAAGTTGTACACTTGTAGCAAGGATAATATGAAGTGATATTCTTATCTAAGCTTTGTTTCCAGTAGATTTACTGAAAGCCGTAGATCGGAACTTAAGGCTTCAAAATTTCCTAG